TTTTTTGAATAAATATAATAAAAATACTCTTATTATAGTGAATTGGCCAATCAAATCTCTTAAAATCTTCACTATAACCTTATAGCAAAGTTGAGGTCTAGGATATAAAGTTTGTTATAACAAGAGTTAACTATATCAGTATTTTAATATACTTATCATTATAATTTAAAATCAATTAAATTTTTTATTTAATAATAATTTTTTAGTGAGTAAGTTATTTTTATTAATTATTAGTATTTATATAATTTAAAACCAACTTTATTTCTTTATTTAAAAAATAAATAATAATTTAAGATGTAAATTTTTTTTATTGATTAATAATATTTAATTATACTTTTTATTATAATTTAAATTAATTATAGATGCTTGCTAAAACCTTCTTAAAATAATTTCATCATATCCTTTTCTATGTTTTTAATATAGTTTTAACAGTTTCAGCTTTCATTATACTGAATAGATTTCATCATATTCCTTATTATGATTTTAATATAATTTCATCTAAGTTTTAACTGTTATTAAAAGATTTCATCCCTTATCTAAAAAATCAACTAATTTTTATTTAAAAAATAAATTTTATTAGTAAATAAGTTATTTTATTGATTATCAGTATTTTATTATACTTTTACTATAATTTAATATTAACTAAATATATTATTTATAAAATAATTAATAACTAACAATTCAATAGATAGTAAATTATTTTTATTAATTAATTATGCATTATTGTAATTTAATCTTTAAAAAAATATTTTATTAGTAGTTAAGTTATTTTTATAGATTAATAATTCTTTATTATAATTTTACTATAATTTAAAATTAACTAAATTTTTATTTAAATAAAATTAGCTAATATTAATAAAGGTATTTTTATTATTTTTAATTATTATTATTTTATAATTTGTATAATTTATATTCAAATAAAATTTAAATATTTATAATTTATTAATATTAATTTAAAAATTAAATTTTATTAAAAATACTAATTAAAAAACTTAATATATTATATTTCGTAAGTTTTATTTTTAGTATTTAAATACAGTAATTTTAAGTTAAATCAATTTTTATTTAATAAATAGTTAATAATTAAAATTATAAAAGGTATATTATTTTTATTTATTTTTAATTATTCACTTTTATAATTTAAATTTTTTACTTAAAAAAATTTTATTAATAATAATTATAGAAGGTATATTTATTATTTTATTCTTATTATTTTATGATTTTACTTTAATTTAACTAATTTAATTAAAATATTTATTAATTAATAATAGTTTGTAAGTTAATTTTTTAGTATTTAAATTTAATAATTTAAAGTTAATTAAATTTTTTCTTCTAAATATATAATTTTGTTTCACTGGTTAAAATATGATAATTCAGATAAGTTTCAATATACTAGATTATATCTAGAATATTACTTAATTAAGAAATCCAAAATATACTGAATTTTGACTGTATGATAGATAAGATTAGAATAAGATCAGATATAATTCAATTTTAGATAATAGATAAGATCAGATATGATTTGAACTTACACATATTTTTGAATTATATCTGAATTTCTTAAAATTATATAATATATACTGATCACAAATCAGTATAATAATCTATCAAATTTCAGAAAATCCATTCCATCTGAATTACATATTATTTAAATATGATTTTATTTTACAATTTGTATATATTATATATATTTATCTTTCTATTATAATCTTATTATCTGCTATTAAATATTAATCAATATAAATATAAAGTGTAAATAAAAATGCAAATTAAAATAAAGCAAATAAAGCGAAATAATATACAACTATTAAAAAATTCATAAATAATTCTTATTTCTATATTTTCTTTAATTTTCTTGTCATTGGTCTTATATTCAAGTAATTTTTCCTTTTTTTTTTTCTCATTAATCTATACATAAGTTTTATAAAAACAATAATAAAAATTAGTTAAGGAATTAAAATTTATACTATTAAATAATATATGATATATTACTATTATTTGATTCAACGTTAGCGGATAATGATCAATCAGCAGTGGTAATCATAATGTTAGCTATAGATAATTCTTGAATATCATAATTAATATCATTATTATCATCATTAATAAAAAAATCAATAGCTTAAGTAATTAAAAAATGATAATGTGATTAACCAGCAATAAGTTACAGATTGGTTATTTAATATCAACAAATATAAATAAGATTAGATTGAATCCATATCAGACGAGTATTCAAGTAAGACAAGAATCTCAGCAGATTCAATAGGTAATGTTATTTCAGAACTAGAAGCTTAAGCATCATCTTCAGGATCATCTATTAATTAATATATATTATATATAAAATTGAATTTATATTTTAAATAATTTAAACTTTTACCAACTACTGAATTATCTCTATCCAAATCTGAATTAATCGTCTAAGCTGGAAACTATTCCTTTGGATTTGAACCAATCTTATATATAATTGGGTTTAAATTCCATCTTTTTCTTTGTGGTTTAACATAAATCACATTGATAGCAGTTTTATCAAACTATTCACGCAAAATGACTTGCAATTAAAATCAAATATAAAAATTAAAAATACAAATAAAAAATCAAATAAATTTAAAATAAAAAATACCAAATCAGATCTCTAAGCTGATTCTTCAATTTTAATAACATGATTGTTATCTGTAATTCCATTGAAGACTCTAATATTATTATTACGTTCTTATTATGTAAGATCGTTATCAGTTTCTGAATCCTCATCTGAATTTAAATCAGAATCTTTAATTAATGCTTCTAAATTTTTAGACAGCTTATCTTGATCAAAATAAGAAAGAATATCAATCGTAAATCGTCTCTTTTCATCTTATTTAGACCACGTATTTTATAGCTAATTTTCTATTAATATAAATAAATATAAATCAAAACATATTATTAATCATTAAGATATATATGACATATTATTATACAAAGTTACATTTGTTCATCTTTGATTTTTGTGTTGTTTTCTCTTATTTTTTTTGTTTTTGATCAAATTGGCTTGAACTTGACTATCTTCTCTTTTATATCGCAATTATTCCTAAAGAAAATAATGAATTGTTATTTGATATTTTAGAAACTTATTTTTTAGTTTCTTATATATATAAGAAACAGCTTTTCCAGTTATTTCATTGCTCTGTTCAAACCATTTTTTATTCAGACTTATTTGAAGAACTGAATCTAATTGCTTGTAAAGGTTAATAATTTCCTACTATAGATAGTATATTGATTATATTAGTTTTTTATCATAATCGATATATAAAATATATTATATAATAAAATACTTTCATAAAGTAAATTCTTGACTTCAAAATCTAATTTATCTATTATTAAATCAGTTCCAATTTTCACAAAGTCTTTTGAAGTAAATATGACTAATGTTGATTCTATTTGTTACTTTTCCTTAGTTATTTGGTTTACATGAGTAATGCTATTATTATTATCTTAAGATTCATTCAGAATTACAAGATGAATGAATTCTGTTCTTTTTTTCTGTAAAAGTTGGATTTAGTGTATTATCATCTCCATTTGTTCTAAAATAAATTTAGTTAAGTATATTAATATGTTTATTATAATTATTACACACAGATTAGAATATTTATGTTTCAATTTGACTATTTTTGAATATTTTTTTTCTGAATTGTCTTTTTTTTTTATTTTTTAACGTATTTAATTATTTTAATAGTAGTTCTAATTTTCTACTATCAACACTACTATCTGAAGTATTGCTAGACAAACTATCTTCTAATGAATTAGATGGGAAGCTTATTTTCTTATGATTTTCAAATATATTGTCTAATGATTTCTTATAATAATAATGAATTAAATGAAGTAAACAATCACGAAATATAGTCAAAATTATAAAATAAATAGTTAGTAAATAAAAGAAAGAATTTGTTAGTGAAAATATTAATAAAAAATGATAAAAAAAATATCTTTTGATCTGAAAAAGTGGTTTTAAATAATAATTAAAACTTCAGTATTATTATTCAAATTTGAAAAAGACATTTTTTTCTTGAAGGTTTTTACTTTTATATTTTCTTTACATAAAATAAAGAAACTAATAAAAGAAAAAAAAAGGAATCAGTAGTTAATTATAATTTAGAGTTAATTATACAGTATATTATATATTAAAATAAACTATAAAACGTATTATTTAAATAAAGTATATGATTATTAAAGCATGATTTAAAGTAAACTATCAAATAACCATTTAATACTAATAAATTTTTAAATAAATTATTTACATATATTCTGATCGGCCATTTGCGAATTTTACATTTTAAAAGTTTTAACATTTTCCTGAAAAAAATATAAGAGAAAATGGCTCCATCTAAAAAAAATAATCTTTTGAGCTTGCATAAACATATTCTATGCATTTGCTATTTATATAATGATAAATTAGTAGATCTGAGAACTAGAAAAAAACATTACAATCAAGTTTAAAAGCAGTTAATTATCTTAAATAAAGTACAAAATAATGATAGTCAAAAATCATTTAAGACTATTGTACTATAAGTAATATTTCTAGATTTCATACAAACATATAAAATAAATAATAATATTGAATCTTCTATCGTATAACCTATTGATTCAGATACTGGATATGATTCAATCGAGTCTTCTATAATAATAGATAACATAAATCTGATCATTATTCCTGAAGAATATAATACATTAGATCAAAGTTTAAACAGTTCAAATATTACTCAAAAATATAATAAAACAGATAAATTTTATTTACCAGATATTGTACTATTAATTTTTAATGAAACTGAGACTGACGACGAATCTGAATCAGAAGAATTGGTCGAACTAGATTTAGAAATCAATCAAGAACAAGAATCTAAATTCAAACTAGATTTAGAACAAGAAGACAATTTGGACTATTTATGATTTACTATATCAGGATTTAATAATGAATCTGAGTTAATATACAATAAAAATAATCAAAAAGATTTTAACTAGATTCTGCTTTAGATATTTAAATACTAATTCTAATTCAAGCTTTCAAATACATCAATAGAAGCTCTTATAAAATTTTTTCAAATAATGTTATGTAGTATAAATTTTACAAAATTTGAATGATTTTTAACTTCTTTATATATATCTTAGAAGAGATTAGATCTTTATAATAAAATTCAATCATATACTGCTTATATAGCATATTATAAATAATATAATACATAAGAATTAATAAACTAAAAATCAGATATAAACTGTTTAAATATAGAATTTCTGAATTATTCTCAAGAAAGAATGCAATAAGCATACAATATGCTACTTTTAAAAAAGTTTTGGACACTAAAAGAAATCATATTTCAGCCTAACATAGCTTTTCTAATAGCTAATATTAAAGAATAACTATTTAAATTTTATCAATAATCGAATTTTGAACGATTGCTAAGACAATGGATTGACAACAATACTAATTCTAATTTTATTTCAGATATTTATGATGGAAAATTATGAAAAGAATTCAAAATTGATAATGGTAAATTATTTTTTACTCTAGCTACTACGAATATAAATTTCAGCATAATGCTTAACCTTGACTGATTTTAACAGTTTGACTATTCTTAATACAGTATTAGAGTAATATATAGAGTAATTTGTAACTTACCAAGAGAGGAACTATTTAAGCCCCAAAATATATTAACATTTACTATCTTTTCTAGTCTAAACGAAGCTTCAAAATACAAAATTAATAACTATCTTTCTCCAGTTGTTGATCAGCTTCTTAAATTATTGGATGGATTTCAAGTTCTAGTAATTAGCCAATATTTATATAAAAGAATTATTAAATGTACTCTAATTGCTTGTTTGTGTGATGCTCTAACTGCTAGAAAGTTATGCGAATATGTAAGCTTTCAAAAAGCATATCACAGGTGTAAGAAACTGCAAACTATTCAAACAATCAGCTGAATTTTAGAGAATTCAATAATATAGATCAATAGTTTATTAGCTAAGACCATTAGAATATTAGAAGTATGCGCAAGAATAGTTGAAATATAGAACAAAAGAATCAAAAAAGCAGCATATTTCAACTAAGTTAGATATATGATCAGAATTGCTCAGGTTATCTTATTTTGATCTGATTCGATTCTTGGTTATAGATCTGATGCATTGCTTATTTCTGGAAATTGTTAAAATGATAATAAAACACTTTAGATTGATGGTGTGATAGGTAAAATTTTAGATAGATTTAATTGGTAAAATAAGAAGTCAATTTTATTGCCATGTAGATCTTCTATAAAGATCATTTTATCCATTTTATTGCCATTGATCAATTATGTAAATCTTTAGATATCAATTTTATTGCCTTTGATAATCACGTAGATCATAGACGTCTATTTAGTTGCCTGCAGATCTGGCAATTTTATTGACACAGCAACTTTATTGCCTAGCAAAATGGCAACTTTATT